ACTTTGATTTAATGTTCTTTTACTTGTATAAACATGAACCTACCAAATTTCGTATGATTTAGGATATCTAATCACTGTCTAATCAAAAGCACAGGAAACAACGAGGAAAGGTAGATATACTTTATACCTGAAATTCAAAGAAAGTGATATACTGAATACCCATATTTAAGCTGCAATATACCGTATACCCGATTTAAAACGCCCCTGAATACCGAATACTCAAAAACCCTGGCCGACCCTGATTACAAGAGTGGGTAGTTTTTGGAAATGGGGGGGGAAAAAGTCTGCAAAGGCTTCTGGGTTCTGCCTTTTTGGGATTCGTTCGATATGGTAGGGAACTGGTTGGACCATATTTGGCCGCCATTTGAAGAAAGTTGAAAATATTAGCTTTTTGTTGATATACGATAAAGGCTTTTGAAGCTTGCATAGTTGGAAAAAATGGCATGATAGGATGCAAAAATGCAGAGCCAAGTAATGGTGGTAAGGGGCTTTAAGCAATCATCTTCTATGAACTTTTTTTGGCGTGTAACAAGTAAGAACAAACTTATTTGGAATTTAGAATAACATGTTTCCTTCTTTATACAAAGGAATCATACAGTATTTCTTTTAGCACACTGTGACTATTTGATCCCCAAGTGGTGAAACTATAGACTTCCCGTACCTGCTGTTTATTGGCATAAAGTCCACCCACACTCAAGGTTTTATTGTGGTTTTCCCATTCAAGTATGTTTTCCATCATTCAAAGTTGTATGTGTCGGAGCATTCATGCCAGTGTCAAGGATTGACAGCGTTTGTGTTGTGGTTGATCAGTGCTATGATCTCAAAACTCCAAATGGTAATGAGAGAGTCATTGTAGCTGTTCCACTTGATGTTAAATTGCATCTTTAAAGATATTCTTTTCTATTTTTAGGAACTTCTCATTTGATACCTTGGTCTTAAGATTTGCAAATACATATAGGATAAGACCTTTCTCCTCGGTGATTGACTGTTTCAGTATAATTGAAGCCCAATGAGTGATCAGCTCATCAGGGCAGTAGAGATATCACTTTCTGGTTGAATATAAATGCTTCCCTATCCAGCAAGCACGAGGACATGTGAAGCAGTGAAATACACGCCATTGGCTAACTTTGGTGATGCTATTTGTTCCTGGTAGGACTTCATGAATTTAAAATTAGTCTCTCGAACAACTCTCTAATTTGAGCCCTGAAATCTTCCTCTTGCAGAGACTTGTTAACTAGGAAGGCATGTATTAGTCGAGGAGCAGATTTCTAAAAGAGGCCCAACTAATGGGTTACTTAGCACCCCCACCACACAAAAGGTTTGACAACAGATTCAAATAGCCAAATACCCACAGATCACTTATTCGACATTCGGATTTACAAATTGTGGGGCCAGTGACTTGGTACGCTGCGATTTCTGAAGGGGGTGGGGGGTATTTTGAATCATCAAATTTCAGCATTTTCGCACAGGGTTAAAACTTTGAAAAATCATATCTTTTTACTTAATCAGGGAATTGTATTTGTATTTGGCCAACGCGTGTTAATCCATAAGAGCTACAATCTCTGATGTATTTTGTGCCTTTTTTGCGTTGCCATGGTAACGGTTTAGAAGGAAACTCTGTCTATGGGGTCTAACGTCAATAATAACGGATGTTTTGACTTCCGCGACAAATATACATTGCCGATGTACTTAGAATGTGCTTACAATTAATATTTACTAATTCTCGAGAACCGTTTGTATAAGATTTTTTACAAATTTGCAGATCAAACCATTCCATTGTCTTGTAACGAGTCATGAAAGTTGTCATAATTGCCTCTAAACCCTATTTTTCCTATTGTTACCAATTAAAACCTTTGAAAAATCATATCTTAAAGACTAAACATTGTTCAACGATGAAACTATGGACAGTCATGTAACTTTATAAGCTCTTTCATTTTACAACCTTTTCGCGAAATGATCCTTGTTTCCATGGCAACGGTTGCTAAGATGTGTTTTTTTGTAAGCAATGCCGCTTTTAAAGAAGATCGAACAGAGATGTGGGTTAAATAAAGCAATTTAAAACAAAAGTTAATCGAAAAATGAAATAAGTTTTTTTTTTTTACCGGTTTGAGGAATGCTGAATGACCCCCTTTAACTGAGTTTATGTATGGAATTAAAGTAATTACCACCTATTTTGTGGCCGACATAACGCGATTTGCTGAAAGTAGAACTGAAGAAACGGCATATTCTATAGATTTAACTGTCACCAATGTCTTTATTCAAGCAAAAGAAACTACAGGATCCTTTGCCATAGGTTCAATAACAATCAGATATTACACGCTCTTTTCCATTTGCGTTTCACTTCAAAAGCATTACTACAACTAATTGACAATCTACTCCTCGTCGTCACTCGGACACTCTAATTCATCGAAACCAGTGTCAGGATTTTCACAATCACAGGCCATGCAAGCACAAGCCTCTGTGCACGATAACTC